CGCCGTGCTTGGCTGCATTTGTAGTTTTAACGCGTCGGCAAAAGAAACGTTGGGAACTCGCTGCGCACTGGCAAAAAAGGCTCCTGGTGTAGTGGTTGATGGCGTGAGGTGTTGGTATGTATAAGAGCTAGAGCGTACGGCTGTGTTGTGCTGATTCTTGCGAGACTTTAAGTCTTTGTATACAGGGCATCCCCTATAATTGGCGGTGTGGTTACTGCATTTCTTTACAGCCACATCATCTTTGATAGCCTTGCAAGAAGCGGAAGCGTGAAGGTCGCCACAGGCAACACATACTGGGCGCAAGGTACAGTATGTTCTGGTGTGACCAAATTCTTGACAATTTGTGCACTGTACGGGACTGTTTCGCTTGTGCGGCTCCTCTACTGTTATTCTTCGGTGTAGAAGGTATCGTAGATTGTAGATTGGGTGCACTGCGTTTTTATTCATTGGCTTGTTTTTGGATTAAGTTCTACCTTAAACATAGGCTGAGCGATTTTTGCTCTGTTGATAATATTGACAACATTTTTAACAGAAAATCCTGCCTTCTCTAGAGCATGAGTAATATCAGCAATGGGTACACTTGATTCTATACCTTTTATTACTACTTGCAGTTCTTTGCTGCTTTTGAGCTGGTACGTATAGAAGCTTTTCTTATCTTCATTAAGGTGTTTGGTTACTGTAGGGTTTGTATTTGTGTTATTACCTTTTATTGTACTGTGTTCATTTCAACTTTGTAATTTTGGAAATCTTAGATTTATGTGATTTTTGTGGTTCGTCCATCAAATAGAAAATTTTATTATTCAAAGGTAATAACACAAATACAAACCCTACAGTTACCAACCGGTAATTTTCTTCAGTTAGAATCTGAAGTTTGGTCTCTTTAATATTGCCCTTGGTAACTGATGTTACGTGGAACGTATTGTCTCCAATAAGCTGAGTTAATTTATTCACGAGCTCACTACAGTTTTGCTCTCGTAAATAAATTGGGGGCGGTTTGGGTTTGGCTTTAGAAACTTCATTCGGCTCCTTGTCACATTCATTGTCCAGAATCGCAAACTTATTTCCCAGTAGAGGGTTAGTAAGTGGTTTTCGTTTTTGCAATTTTTGATGGGTTTGCAATTTTTTGCTGCTGTGGGCTTAATTTTCGTTTAACTTGTATATACCTATCAATACCCGCTTGAGTCAATGTACGGGTTGTTGGATTAAGTAGGTCAACTTGCGCTGAGCTGCGTTGCTTGGCTTGGGCTGGTGCCGAAATTTCCGTTTGTGCAGGTGTGGGTGAACTGCGTTGTGAAACCGCTGTCATTGCTGAAGTCGTGGTTGTAGTCGTTGTTGTGAGAGCTGCGCTTACCGTTGTTACTGTGCTTGTTGCTAAGCTAGTGCTTTGTTGTTGCGTCAGAACAACTTGGTCTACCAGAGACATTGGCAACTGTGCATGCCAAGGTGTTTGGGGGGAAGGAGAGAACGATTTATCGCGATCAGCATTGTTTGTGGGGGAAACGAACGAAAAGTAAGCATTTCGTCGATCAGCTGAATGCTTTTGGTCAGCTTCTGTTACGGCAAGGTTTATTTCACTGCACTTGGTGCTTGTTTCACTACTATTCGGTAAGCGCGGTGGGGCCGGAGCTGCTTTTATTTTATTGTATGTCGGCACATTTATTTGAATTTCTCGCGGCATTGCGAAAATTCTGAAAAAGTAATTTATAATTATAGGCAAATAAACAGAAAGTTTATTTATGCCTAGTATTGTCTTTTCGCGTTGGTTCTGTTTTTTTTTTCTTTGCTTTACGTGAATTATTGAAATGCTGGCGCATATCCGTAAAACCCATTTCGCAAGCCACGTATAAGCCTCAAACCTTCGTTAATTTAATGCCTGCAAAGAAATGAGGTTCGATTATATCACCAAGGTAGACGAAGCCATGCTTTGCGCACAAAGCTTATTGATGAATGATGCAATAGACCTCAAGAATCGAATATCTTACGTGGATTTTGTTAGTTACTGTCTGTGTTTTTGGCTCTTCTGACCTGTTTTCTTGGGTGTGACTAGATCTTGCTTTGATCTTCAATTTACTACTACTAGAGGGATTGTGTCCTCAATTAATACCGTGCCCAAATTATTTTGTTGCGTGCCATCAATGGCACGCGTGCCTTAGGTTCGCCAGCCCTGCACTAGAGGCCTTGTTATTCCCGTATTTCACGAACCACCTGACCCCAGCGGAGCATCAGCATGGTTTCCGTAAAGTGCACAAAACAACAACAGCACTTAAGGCCATAAACACGCAGATAATACGTGGCCTAAACCGCAACCATCCCTGAGAGAGAAATATTCTAGTAGCGTTGGACCTGTCAAAGGCGTTTGATACCGTCAGCCACTCCACGCTCCCACAGAGGCTCAAACGGTGGTCGGCGAATTATCTAAGTGGTCGACACTCGTCAGCAATGTTTAGAGACAAATCGAGCAAACCTAGAAAAATAAAACAGGGGGTTCCACAGCGTGGTGTCCTTTCTCCATTACTGTTTAACTACTATATTTCAAAGCACCATCAACCTCCAGAGGGAGTCTCGATTGTCTCCTATGCTGACGATTGTTCGATAATGGCGTCTGGGAATGGAATGATGACTTGTGTTCGAAACCAAACGGGTATCTCTCCGAGCTTTCTCGCTTCTTCACTGCTAGGGGCCTAACCATCTCCCCTACAAAATCCTCTACGACCTTGTTCGCCACCTGGACGAAGGAGGTCAGACTACCGCTGGGAGTTCTCGTCGATGATACACCAATTCCGACGGTGAATAACCCCAAAATAGTCGGATAAACCTTCGACAATCTGCTCTCCTCTGCGCACGCAACCACTATTGTCAACAAAATACAGAGACGTAACAAGTTCCTCAAGTCGCTAGTAGGGATGCAAACGATGCATCGATGTTTTTGAAACATCGATAATATCGGTTCAATTTTCGATGTTTGCCATCGATGTTTACAATTTACTAACATCGCGAAATTGGCGATACATCGATGGAAGTTTTACCGATGTTTTTAACATCGACTTTAAGGAGACTCTCCGACTTTCTTTCGGTATGTTTGACTGGCCTAAAGATTATTATTCATTCATATTTTTTTTTATATTTATGGCCGTATAACAATTATATTCAACAATTTTATTGAGCTTGAGGCCGTTTCTTATGAAAAACGTTATTGAAAATCAACAATAAGTTACAAAAGGTAGAAGTTATAGCTGCTATTTCGAAGATCACCACATCTCCTCAGTGACCGCTGTTGAAGAAGTCTGATTAGAAGATGTGGTGATATCCCAAATAGCAGCTATAACTTCTTACCTTTGGAAATTACTGTTGCTTTTCCACAACATTTTGCATAAAAAACGGTCCCAAGTTCAATAAAATTATTGGATTCATTGTGAATGCTAATAACCTAGCCGTTAAAACAGAACCAAACACCCCTTAATTTCAACAAGATCAGGCCTAGGATCTTTAGGCCCGAACGACCTTACGATGGTATGCATTTTGATTCTAATGATAGAAAGGGTATAGAAAGGATAATAAAATACAGGAAAATACATTCATAATTATTAAAGTATTCAATATTGCTTTAAATTTAACTATAAATTAACAAATTGCAAAACATCGGAAACCATCGATATATCGATGTTTCTCTGGCAATGTATTTTAGCCTCGATGTTCTATTCTCCGATGCATCGAAACGTCGATGTATCGATGTTACTGCTTAAAATTTGCATCCCTAGTCGCTAGCCGGCAGTACTTGAAGCAAAGGCAAAGAAACGTTGCTGGCAACATGCAAGGCAATAAGACCGGCCGTCTTAAATTACGCTGCACCAGTGTGGTTGCCGGGGACTAGTAGGACGCAGTGGATGAAGCTGCAGACGACACAAAACACTGCACTTCGGACAGCGACTGGATGTCTTCAGATGTCGCCAGAACACCACCTGCACGACGAGGCGAAAGTGCTTCCCATAAAGGAGCACAATACAAAGCTCTGCAAGTAATTCCTAGTAGGGAGCCACAGATATGGACACCCGAAAAGACACTTGTTTGCAGAGGAGCCCTCGCCAAGGCATGTCAGAAGGCATCTTTACGAACTGACGGACGAAGTCTAGAGATTCATAAAGCAACCTCTGGACCCGTCAGCTTATCGACAGGCCCTGAGCGACATTCACAGGGACTCAGTCTCGAGCTATGTAGACTCCAGACCTGTGAACGCCGTTCTAGGCACACAACCACCTGACATCGACGAGACGGAGCTTCGTCTGCTCGGGAGACTAGAACCACAATAGCCCAACTTCGCTCTGGCTACAGCAGCAGATTAAACTCATACCTGAGCGGATTAGAGGCAGATGTGCCAAATGAGTGTCCGCCATGGAAAGAGACACCCCAAAACTCGAAACATCTCTTCGTATGCCCGGAAAATCTCACACAGCTAACGCCTTTGTCCCTGTGGACCGACCCCATTGAGATTGCACGCTTCTTGGGGCTTCCGTTAGTTGAGCTTGACGACAACGACTGAGATATTAACCGATCTGGGCGGGGTCGTTGTAGCCGCTGCAACAACAACAACAACTCCCGGCCTATGAATGCCGTAATCGGAGCCCAATCACCACGTGTAGAAGTGACGGAGCTTCAAATGCCAGGAGAGACCCGCGTTACCCTGGCTCGGTTACAGTCTGGATATTGTAGCCGCCTCAACAGCTACCTGTCCAGACTTGACCCCAATATCCCCAATGAGTGCCCGGGATGTGGAGACACCCCGCACGACACAAACCACCTCTTCACATGCCAGCTCAATCCTACTCAACTCTCCCTTTGGTCCGACCCTATTGAAACAGCGTTTTCTTGGCTTGCCGTTAGTTGAGCTTGACGACAATGATTGAAGGATGAAATGAAATGGGCGGGGCTTAGTAGTGCCACTGCAACAACAAATTGAATTATTATTTCATGGTTGATAGTTTTTAAACCTTTTTACATTTAAGCTTCAGCATGAATCGTTTACTTGCCGAACTGCAGCTGAGGCCATTCGATTTGCGCAGAAGTTTACTTCCCGAACAGGAACAAATTATATGGGAAAGCATGGGTCTCGCGTCTGATGCACAAATCATCGAAAACGCTGCGTTACTGCGTCAAATGATGGACTTACCTTTCGGAAGCTCCCCAATACCTTTGGTACTGGACCCTACGCAAACCGCCACAAACTGGCTAGAAGAATATCTTCGCGCCAAACAAAGACCTTATGGTATAACTACACAAAGCAACGAGCGTTTGAACTACTTGCTTGAGTTGGCGGTACGCTTTGGCAAAGTGCTAATAGTGCAAGATTGCCAGCAAGTGCGTCCCCCATTATTGCAGCTATTACAGGGGCGCTTTTATGTCAAGTTTGGGAAAAAGCTGTTAGAAATTGGCTCAAAAATTATTGACCTGCACGAAAATTTTCAGCTCATCCTCTTTTCAAAAACTAATAAATTGAGCATCGAGCCAGAAACATTAAGTTATTTGACTTGTATACCGTTCACTGTAACCGCCGTAGGACTGGCAGATCAACTCATGTCAAAAGCTATCATATTGAAGAACCCCGAGCTGGAGCAAAAACGCATTGAATTGCTGAAAAATGAAGGTGTGCTACTTAAACAGCGCATCGAGTTGGAGGACAAGCTGCTGGAAGAGCTCTCAACTGCACAAGGTGACATTTTAGAGAATGAAAAGCTATTGAGTACACTCAATGAGGTGAAAGAAAGCAGCAATTTTATTGATAAATCGCTTAAGGAAAGTGCCTGTCTGAAGGAATCGCTTCTGTCGGACTACACTCAATTGCGAGAGCTTTGTTCACAGTCAGCAAAGTTTTACATCGAGCTTATTGCCTCATATGAGCTACCAGCCTTGGCGTATATACAAATCTTTCTCCAATCGGTGCAGGCATTTGAAAGGCCCAGCTCAGTGGCACCAGGTGATATCCAAGTCTATGAATCACTGGTGTGTGCCACATACCAATATATAGCACGCTCTACACCACGTACAAGTCACCTTACTTTGGCTTTATACATATGCAAAAGTGCGTATCCAGAACGAATGCCTGCAGCAGAATGGGAAATGTTTATCACCAACTTTATGGTCACAGCTGATGGCGGCCTTGGAAGTGTTGATTCTGGCTTAATACAGTTGCCCGATTTTATCAGTAAAGAATCAGCACTAAAATTGCAGATATTATTAAAACAAGTACCGCAACTTGAGGAACAGTTGCAATTGCAGAATGACTATGCCTGGCGAAGTTTTGTCGTGGATCAGACGCAAGAGATGCCAGGTAAGGGACGATATCTCAAGATATTAAGAATCAGTTTTAAACAAATTAAACATATCGTCGTTCAAAGTACAAAACCGCGTATCAACAAAATGATCAACCGCGTATGTGAGGTTGCATAAATTATTTTCTAGAGAATAAAAACACTCATATTTCAAAATGGTTCTCTTTCTTTTCAGGACAAATGGATAAGAATTGAGCCAAGAGCTTGTGTGAGCAAATCCACTTTTTGGCAGCAAATGTCAGTAACGTGGTTTTGCAGAATGACGATACGCGGCTTTTTACTTTAAACGACGATATATATGTATAGTAGACTCCATCACCAAAAAAGTTGCGGTTTTTCCACCGGGATTACAAAATTTATTATGGTTGAAGACGTCCACCACACTATTTCGGAAAAATATCAAGATTTACGTGAGTTGGACCGATTTGAAAATATTTCCAAAGAACTGGTTTCAAAGATTGGTTTAAGAAAAACTTGAATACCTGGCCTAAAACTATTCTGATTTGGACTTACGAAGTATTAGTGGAAAGGTATTTTCCCACTCTTTTTTTCTTTGCGAAAAAAACGCATTCACATCCCTTTTTTTCAAATATGTACCAACACATCTTAATTCAACTTGGAATGACGCTCGTTCATCCTACCTTTCTTTTTCATACTTCGAATGAGCTTATTTGCAAAGAAATAAAAAGGGTGAGAAAATGGTGACAGGTCGTGGAAGCCACAGCCCGCAGGTCAAGACGAAGGCGCTGGAATGATCCTTTTTTTAATATTTTTATGCAGATTTTTTAAACTGTTTGTCATCTGAGGGAATTTATTCAAAAAATTCTTTAAGAAACTATTTTTATTCATAAAAAACTCCATTTTCGGAGGTATTTTCAAATCGGACCAGCTAACGTGAATCTTAATATTTTTACGAAATATATTGGTGCAAGTATTAAAAGTTATGGTCTAATTTATATACAAATCTTGGTATTTTAGTGATGTAAATGCACATGTAATAAACGATCTGTACGTATACATCTGTGGTCATAAGCAATAACCGCCTAAGTCGAATTAAGAAAGAATTCCCACGACAGCCGGTTCTACGTACCGGAATGACTCGGGTTTTACCCGACCAAGGGCTGTTGTTTCGGCGATCTAACCCAGTTTAGGTCGGCGAAATCCATCAAACGTTGCTCTATTCTAGGGCTACATCTGCTCCGTACCCTTCTGCTCAGGGCTGGCATTGAGTCCAACCTAGGGCCAGAAACTTACACCTGCTGCGTGTGCCAGAGACGACTGCACACAAACTCCACCACGGTCAGGTGCAATGCCTGTGATGGGTGGAGTCACCTCCGCAACTGCTCGGGCCTACGTACGCACCGGCAATGGACCACGTCGTTAGTGGCCCCATGCTGTGCGAACCGGACCGCCTCCACGGCAAACCACCACCCGCCCGTGCAGCACACAACCAACACACCCATACCCCAACACAACACAATAATAGAGACACACACAAACACAATAGCACCCACACACCGCCGCCGGCAACTCCTAGTCCCTCCAACAATCTGCTCGGTTTGTCCGTCCAGAATATACCGTAATGTGACATCAGTCAAGTGCAACTCCTGCCTTGGCTGGTGCCACTTTAGGGCATGCTCAGGACTTCGCACCACGCGTGATTGGACGAGTGACTATGTGGGCCCCTGCTGTGCTGCCCTGTCGCATACCTCCCCCGCGACGCCGCCAACCACCACCACAAGGCAGCACCCCCTTTTGCAGCACGTACAGCAGGGAGCCGGTAGGCAACAAAACTCCTTAACACCACACATAACAATCGGTCTGCCAAGGCACACAAAGGTGCTACAATTTAACTGTAACGAACTCCAGAGCAAGATCGATGAGATAACCGTCTTTATGGGAAGGCATGGAATATTAATAGCTGCGGTCCAAGAGACGAAGTTGCACGGCAATTCAACCTTGTTGAATTGCGCCGGATACAAGGTGCACCGTCGAGATCGCGAGCGAGACAATGGTGGAGGTTAGCGTTCATCACGCATCACACCCTGCAGTATATTATTAAAGCAGACATCGACCGCATGGATACCATCCTAGAATGTCAGGGTATTGCTATCCGGTCAGGCGAAGTTGAGCTAGAAATATTTAACGTATACATACCGTCTGTCAACAGCTGCCTGGCAGGATATCACCCTGAAATAGGTGCGCTACTCAGAGGTGAAAACCGTATGGGAGTTGGCGGCTTTAACGCGCACCACGATGTTTGGCACTCAAGCCTGTNTCATCACGCACCACACCGTGCAGTATCGTCTCATTGAAGCAGACATCGACCGCATGGATACCATCCTAGAATGTCAGGGTATTGCTATCCGGTCAGGCGAAGTTGAGCTAGAAATATTTAACGTATACATACCGTCTGTCAACAGCTGCCTGGCAGGATATCACCCTGAAATAGGTGCGCTACTCAGAGGTGAAAACCGTATGGGAGTTGGCGGCTTTAACGCGCACCACGATGTTTGGCACTCAAGCCTGTCAAATGATCGTAGGGGAATACATCTGGCTGAGCAGATAGACGATTCGACATTCTGCACAATGAACGACGACGCACCCACCAGGATTATGGGCAGCTGCTACAGTTCGCCAGATCTAACAATTGTCAGCGCTGGTCTGATCAACAGCGTATCATGGCGACCTATGCTGACCCTAGCATCAGACCATCTGCCCATAGTAATCTTGACTGATAAACCTGCCGACTTTGCTTCCGCGGATCACCGGATCTATGTCAACTTTTCCAAAGCTGACTGGAAAGGCTTCGCGGATGCTACTGAAAGCGCCTTCACTGCACTACCCATACCAACCGACGTCCAAATAGGTGAACGTAGATTCCGCAGGGTTGTCACTGCTGCTGCAGCTCGCTTCATCCCAGCAGGATGTATTAAGGATCCACGTCCGAACTTTCCTGCTGAAGCGGCAGTTCTAGCCGATGAGCGTGTCAGCCTTCGTCAACCGATCCCGGAAATCCCCGTATCAGGGATCTCAATTCGGAGATTCGGCAACTTGTGAACGTACATAAGCGGAAGAAATGGGAAGAGCATTTGAAGACCTGCAACTTCGCCTCTGGTGTGAGTAAGCTTTGGTCAACCGTGAGGTCGTTGGTCAACCCGACGAAGCGTGACGACAGAGTCGAAATAGACTTTGGTGACCACGCTTCGTTGGACCCGGAGCGATGCGCGAGCTATTTTAGCCGGCAGTTTATTCTGCATCCTCCGGTGGATAAAGCCAAACGTCGAGTGACCAGAAGGCTGCACAAAATGCCAAAACCCATTGCGCCTCTTGTTTTCACTAGCGGTGAGGTAAGGGTAGCCATCGGGAAGGCGAAAGCCATTGGACCCGACGGAATATGCATGTTGATGCTGAAAAATTTTGGTCCTGCGGGAGTAGCGTACCTAATGGAGGACCTCCACTCGTCCACTCTCGTCATTCCAGACATATGGAAGATGGGGAGAGTGGTCCCACTGCTCAAACCGGGGAAACCAACCAACAAAGGAGTCTTTTCGCCCGATAACCCTCTTTTCCCCGGTAGCGAAGACACTAAAGGCCTTGCTACTCCCGTATTTCACGAACCACCTGACACCAGCGAAGCATCAGCATGGGTTCCANGGGGAGAGTGGTCCCACTGCTCAAACCGGGGAAACCAACCAACAAAGGAGTCTTTTCGCCCGATAACCCTCTTTTCCCCGGTAGCGAAGACACTAAAGGCCTTGCTACTCCCGTATTTCACGAACCACCTGACACCAGCGAAGCATCAGCATGGGTTCCATAATGTGCATAGCACAACAACAGCACTTAACGCTATAAACACTCAGATAACTCGTGGCCTTAACCGAAACCGCCCCTGTGAGAGAACTATTCTAGTACCTGGNCACTACCCATACCAACCGACGTCCACATAGGTGAACGTAGATTCCGCAGGGTTGTCACTGCTGCTGCAGCTCGCTTCATCCCAGCAGGATGTATTAAGGATCCACGTCCGAACTTTCCTGCTGAAGCGGCAGTTCTAGCCGATGAGCGTGTCAGCCTTCGTCAACCGATCCCGGAAATCCCCGTATCAGGGATCTCAATTCGGAGATTCGGCAACTTGTGAACGTACATAAGCGGAAGAAATGGGAAGAGCATTTGAAGACCTGCAACTTCGCCTCTGGTGTGAGTAAGCTTTGGTCAACCGTGAGGTCGTTGGTCAACCCGACGAAGCGTGACGACAGAGTCGAAATAGACTTTGGTGACCACGCTTCGTTGGACCCGGAGCGATGCGCGAGCTATTTTAGCCGGCAGTTTATTCTGCATCCTCCGGTGGATAAAGCCAAACGTCGAGTGACCAGAAGGCTGCACAAAATGCCAAAACCCATTGCGCCTCTTGTTTTCACTAGCGGTGAGGTAAGGGTAGCCATCGGGAAGGCGAAAGCCATTGGACCCGACGGAATATGCATGTTGATGCTGAAAAATTTTGGTCCTGCGGGAGTAGCGTACCTAATGGAGGACCTCCACTCGTCCACTCTCGTCATTCCAGACATATGGAAGATGGGGAGAGTGGTCCCACTGCTCAAACCGGGGAAACCAACCAACAAAGGAGTCTTTTCGCCCGATAACCCTCTTTTCCCCGGTAGCGAAGACACTAAAGGCCTTGCTACTCCCGTATTTCACGAACCACCTGACACCAGCGAAGCATCAGCATGGGTTCCATAATGTGCATAGCACAACAACAGCACTTAACGCTATAAACACTCAGATAACTCGTGGCCTTAACCGAAACCGCCCCTGTGAGAGAACTATTCTAGTACCTGGCCAAGGCGTTCGACACTGTCAGTCATTCAACGCTGCTAGAAGACATAGAGGACTCCTCTCTCCCACAGGGACTCAAACGGTGGTCGGCGAATTACCCGAGTGGTCGACATTCGTCAGCAATTTTCAGAGACAAAACGNGGAGATTCGGCAACTTGTGAACGTACATAAGCGGAAGAAATGGGAAGAGCATTTGAAGACCTGCAACTTCGCCTCTGGTGTGAGTAAGCTTTGGTCAACCGTGAGGTCGTTGGTCAACCCGACGAAGCGTGACGACAGAGTCGAAATAGACTTTGGTGACCACGCTTCGTTGGACCCGGAGCGATGCGCGAGCTATTTTAGCCGGCAGTTTATTCTGCATCCTCCGGTGGATAAAGCCAAACGTCGAGTGACCAGAAGGCTGCACAAAATGCCAAAACCCATTGCGCCTCTTGTTTTCACTAGCGGTGAGGTAAGGGTAGCCATCGGGAAGGCGAAAGCCATTGGACCCGACGGAATATGCATGTTGATGCTGAAAAATTTTGGTCCTGCGGGAGTAGCGTACCTAATGGAGGACCTCCACTCGTCCACTCTCGTCATTCCAGACATATGGAAGATGGGGAGAGTGGTCCCACTGCTCAAACCGGGGAAACCAACCAACAAAGGAGTCTTTTCGCCCGATAACCCTCTTTTCCCCGGTAGCGAAGACACTAAAGGCCTTGCTACTCCCGTATTTCACGAACCACCTGACACCAGCGAAGCATCAGCATGGGTTCCATAATGTGCATAGCACAACAACAGCACTTAACGCTATAAACACTCAGATAACTCGTGGCCTTAACCGAAACCGCCCCTGTGAGAGAACTATTCTAGTACCTGGCCAAGGCGTTCGACACTGTCAGTCATTCAACGCTGCTAGAAGACATAGAGGACTCCTCTCTCCCACAGGGACTCAAACGGTGGTCGGCGAATTACCCGAGTGGTCGACATTCGTCAGCAATTTTCAGAGACAAAACGAGCAAGCCATGTAAAATTAAACAGGGGGTACCACAGGGTGGTGTCCTGTCCCCACTACTGTTTAATTATTACATCTCTAACCTTCCTCAACCACCAGAGGGTATCAATATTGTCTCTTATGCTGACGATTGTTCGATCATGGCGTCTGAGAATGGAATTGATGACTTGTTCTCGAAAGTAAACGGTTATCTCGCCGAACTTTCTCGCTTCTTCAATGCAAGGAGCCTTCCCCTATCCAATGCGTAATCCTCGGACACCCTATTCACCACCTGGACGAAGGAGGTCAGACTGCAACTGGGTATTGACGTTGATGGCGTAACAATACCGACGTGAATAACCCGAAAATTCTCGGAGTTACCATCGAAAGTCTGCTCTCCTTCTCGGCGCATACAACCGCAATTGCCAATAAAGTACTGAGCCGCAACAATGTCCTCAAGCCGCTGGCCGGCAGCACTTGGGGCAAAGATAAAGAAACATTGTTGGCAACATACAAGGCAATTGGCCGGCCGGTTCTAAACTATGCAGCGCCCGTGTGGTCGCCTGGGACTAGCGGGACGCAGTGGATGAAGCTACAGACCTGCCAAAACACGACACTACGAACAGCGACCGGATGCCTCCTGATGACGCCTCAACACCACCTACACGACGAGGCCCAGATGCTCCCAGTCAAGGAGCATAACATAATGCTCTGCAAGCATTTCCTTTTGGGGACCCAGACGTGGCCATCCCAGCAAACAGCTGCTTACAGAAGAGCCCTCGCCAAGGCACGTCAGGAGGCATCTCTACGAACTGACGGACGAAGTCCAGAGATTCATTAAACAACCTCGGGACCCGTCAGCCTACCAACCCTGAGCGGCATTCACAGGGAATCAGTCTTGAGTTATGTAGACTCCCGCCCTGTGAATGCCGTTCTGGGCACACAACCACCGGACGTGGACGGGACAGAACTTTGTCTGCATCGGGAGACCCGCACCACAATAGTCGAACTTCGCTCTGGCTATTGCAGCAGGCTACACTCATACTTGAGCAGAATTAATGAGGATGTGCCCACCCAATGCCCGGCATGTGGAGGGTCGCCACATGACTCTCGGCACCTCTTCACATGCCCTGAAAACCCCACCCAGCTGGCGCCCCTGTCCTTATGGACAGAACCTGTGGAAGTCGCACACTTCCTGGGCCTCCCCTTAGCTGAAACAAACGACAACGTTGACGGATGAACCGACCCGAGCGGGGCTTGGTAACCGCTACAACAACAACAACTTAAGAAAGAATTGAGTTATATATGCTATCGTATTCTGCAACTACTATTCCATGTGTATGTGAAATTCCCATCTAGCCAACTAGGCTTATTAAAGTTACAGATGAACATAACGGTTAACATTACAATCCAAATGTTTAAAACGTTTTTCTTGAATTCAGGTGTTTCGACTAAGGCGGTCATTGGTTATTGCCACCGACATATGCTTATGTGCACGATTTAATTTAACTTAGTTCGAAGTAATTTCTTTAGAATTTTCATAACAATTTCTTTGCAGGTAATATCAAATCACCTTTTCATCGCGTACTCATAGCGCAAATATTTCGTATGGATTTTGCCTACATGCAGCTACGTCGGGCAGCTTCAGAAATTCTGGGCATATCTCCAGACTCTGTCGTTCAGCCTACGGTGGAGCAACTTGCCGACGAAAACAATGAAAACAAACCTATTCTCGTGATTACACAACCAGAAAATGATCCAGGTACCGAAATAAAAAGTGTCGCAGCTAAGAAAATCGGTCTCGAAAAATACACGGAGCTTTCCGTAGGTCGCGGAATGGAATGCCGTGCTTTAAATGCCATACGTCAAGCAGCTGAAGTAGGCAAATGGATTTGCATTAAAAATGTTCATCTCATTCCCGATTGGTTACCAGTGCTTGACCGAGAATTGGAAGTTTTGCAGAAACGCGATGGTTTCCGCCTTTGGCTCATTTGTGAATCAACGCGTAGGTTCAGCGAAACGATTATGTACAAGTTTGTGAAGATTTTATATGAATCTCCAAGTGGTATTAAATACAAAGTTCGTCGTATGTTGCAAAACTTTACGTTAAGTGAATTTCGTGGAATATCTAGGGAGGCGAAGCTAGTCAAAATACGTTTTGTGGTTTTTATTCTTACCGCGGTGCTGCAGGAACGTCGCAAATACATACCACAAGGTTGGTCTAAATATTATGAGTTTGGAGAAGCTGATTTAAAAGCCGCAATGGAAGTGATACATTGGCTAGACTCCATGATATCTGCCGGACGTTGCGATTGGTTCATTATGCAAAGGTTATGTGAAAATGTTGCTTTCGGTGGACGTATCAACAACACCCGTGACTTGCAAGTGCTGCAACGGTATTTAGAAGAGTTTTGTTCTGCTGATGTAATGAACAATTATTGGAGTCCATTGAATACCAAAATGATTGTCCACACAAGTGCACAAGTGCTGGATTATTTAAGCACGATTGCGAAATTCCCAGACGCGGAGGGTCCAGAAGTATTTCAGTTGTCGAATCACACGAATGTAAGCCGTGAAATTGAGCAATCAAAAAAAATTATTAGGGATCTACGCAGAGCTTATTATAAAACAGATAACGCGGAAGAAACAGCTGGCCCTGATCAGGAAAAGAATGAATTGGCTCAGTTAGAGAAACAAATTAAACCGGTGTTAGCACTTTGGCGCAAGTTGGCTGGTGTAAGACTTAGTGAATTACTTCACTGTGTACAATCAAATTTTTGTTATTTATGTTTCAATTATCCTTTCGCCCTAGAAATGTACCGTGCAACGAACCGCCGATGAAATGCGGGAATCTACGCAAGCAGACTCGCCTTGGCAATTATTCGTTATTAGTGAGTTGAAAATAGCGGTTAGGTGTTTCCAGGAAGTGCACCAAACACTCTCGTTGATACACAATTGGTTCAAGTCATTTTCTAGTAGCACAAATTCAGATATAGACATAAACTTGTTGCGAGTTTTGGCTGAAAATCAGGTAAATCAAATTATTTGTGTTCATATAGTATATATCTCTTATGCAGCTTAATGTTTGCAGGTTCCTGTTTCATGGTTACGCTGTTGGAGCGGTCCGTCATCAACTGTTGATTACATACGGGCAATTATTGTGCGTGTGCAGGCCGCCGAACTGCGCTATCGTTTGGAACTACATTTAGATTTTGGACACACAATAGACCTCAGATCCGTTTTCCATGTCGAAAGATTACTTTCCAGTCTCAAACTTACAAATTCACAACAGTTGGAAACATCTTCCAAAGGGCTCAAGCTGGCGGCCTACGCGGTGAATGGCAATGAGCAAAACAGTGGTCAATCAAATGTCTCGGTTATTACAGTGGCACCACTGAAGGTAAATGTTAATAATGCGACACCTCGTCGTTTTATGCATTTGTATATTTTGCTTATAGTAAACAAATACAACTCACTCCACCGAGTAAACGACCTCTCTGAACGCATCTCTGACGAACGGGGTTTTAGTTGCAAAGTAAAATTTAATAGTTTGTTTAGCTCTTACCTTTCCCATTTTGGCCATAAAATGATACTCCACTGTTGATAACAACTTATTATCTCAGTTGGCCGAGTAACAATTTTCGTTGCCTAGGCTTTTTGCCTTAAAATTCAAAATTTTCCAGAATTTTTGTTGGTCTCCCGGTCAGGGTTTGTTTTTGATTGGCAGTTCGGCATAGAGCTGGAAAACTATCGATGGCACCATCGATTGTATCGATGGGTTGCCATCTATTGCCACTATCGACAACATCGATAGGGAACAAATGCACAATACATGATTCAACAACTACAGGTTGTAGCAATCGTACAAAAACAACATTTACCGTTGGTATGAACTCCTTGTGTCATCAACATCTTCTTTATCTATTCATATTCGTGTGTATATGTATACCCTGCATACCAGGATTTCATAGAATTCTGAAAGGTTTCACAATTTTTTTAAAAATTTTCTTTAAGAAATCATACAGATATTTCTTTACTAGTTCTTGTCAACCGCTTCATATGTTTTTCTTTACAGATTTCTAAAAGAATCGTAACAAATTTCCGACACTCTTAAAGATTTCGGGAGCATTTGTTTGCAGGGTATATATATACGTATATGTGTATGTGTACGCG